GGCTTACTATGTGTGTGTCTCTCTTTTCCTTTATCCCCCAGACAATCGAATTTGATGAAAGTGCAGGTGCTGTTTTGAGGATCCAGCCCCTCCGGACTCCCCGGGATGAGAACATTTACGAGTGTGTTGCTCAAAACCCTCATGGGGAGGTCACTGTCCATGCCAAGCTCACCGTCCTCCGAGGTAAGCAGCATGCCTGCCTGCCATGTGTCAGTGGCACAGGGGAGAAGGGACCCTTCAGTTTTTCCCTTCCTTCAGATGAGTGGGAAGGCTGTTAAAAAATGCGTGGCCAAGGCACAAAGTCCTCCTTTTTTTTGGTTTGTTCTGACCTGTCAAATCTGTCTGCTGTTGTTACGCCAGAGTCATAAAATTGCTATGTAAGAAACAAAGCTGAAACTGGACCGTTTTAGGAGATTTGACTGGATGATGTGCTGAGATTCCTCCCAACCTGAATTATCCTACGACTCTATGATCTTCCTTCCCCTCCAATAAAAATCCTTTCCCCAGGTTTATGAGCAGCACCAGAAACTCCCATCATTCTCCTCAGAAATGTGGCACCATTCATCCAGACACCCAAGAAAACCTTCACTGAGGAATCATTTAATGGGCTGAGGTTAAGATGGTTATGCATCTGCATGGGCTTTCACACCTCTGGTGGCAACGCCAGCCCCTTCCCTTGCGCAAGATACCTATTTTGCCCTTCTGGGCATCTTCCCTCTTTCCACAGGTCCTTCGCTCTGTGCACTCTCCAAGAAGACAGTTTCCCTCTCCATTTTGTTCTGATTCTTTTTTTCACTTGTCTCCACTATAGAGGATGTTTACATGGATGCCTCCTTCATGTCATCTGTTTGAAATATGCTCCCTGAACTTGATGTGGGAGAGGGAACAATATGCTTATTGCTCTAAATGCCTCTGGATGTTTAGTGTTATTACCCTGGTGATCTGTAAAATCACTGTGTGAAACACTAAGCTTGGTAAAACTGACCCATTTTAGGGGAGAAGATGCATGGTGTTCTTGGTTCAAACCACAGGGCAAGTGATCCTGGCAGAAGAGGCCTGGTGGATATCTGCTTGAGAGCTCCTGAAGGGAGTTCAGCTTGGAAGCATTGGCTAGTGGTGAAGCCGTCAGCAGGAGGTGCTATAGAAAAGCCGTGGGCTTTTGAATAGGGGTGCTTGCAGTGAGAGCCGTTATTTCTGCAGTGAACATGGCTAACAAGAGTTTTAGGTGCTCCAAGGCAGTGTGTGATCCTCATAAGGCCAAGTGGTAGCTCTGCTTATATGCCAGTTGCTTTTTCTTCAGCAATTTCAGTGGTCTCTCCAAGAGCATCTTAAATCCTTTTGTTTGAACAGACAGCGAGTACATCCTTAACAGTGCAGAGCGAAATTTGTGTGCAAATCCCTGATGTACAGCAGTAAATAAAGACCAGACATAAAGGGCACATGGCAAAGCCCTTGACCTGCCCTTGTAGCAAGGAATACTCCTGCTGCCCACCTGCCAGGCTTTGTGTTGTCAAGATGCCGGCTGCCTTTGAGCGTGCGAGCCCATGGTCCAGTCATGCCTGACAGATTTGTGTAGGTGCACTTAAATCTCTGTGTAGCTCCTTTGCCTGGCACGGCATTTAACCTTCTGTTAGCAGTACGTGGTGGGATGTATCTGTCAGGAGATTGGAACAGCGCTTTGTGACAAGAGTGTGTCTAGCTGCAGTTATCCCAGAGGGCTGGGAGCCTTGTTCTTCACACTTATTCCCATATATTCCTTGGAAGCTGTGACAGTTTGGGAAAAGTGCCCCTGCAATCATATTCAAAGTTTCTACCGCTTGAATTTAGCTACAAGCGGTGGCAAGAGGGAAGGTCGTCCTCCAGCTGCTGCCCTCACAAATCCACTGGATTCTCACAGCGTTTTTAAGGCACTCTCCACCAAAAGAAAGCTGCAGCGTATGGGAAGGGATGAGCTGAGCTCGGTGACTATCCTTAGGGACCAGGATTCTTTGTATGTGTCTTTCTCCAGCTCTTCCTTCCAGCAACAGCATCATACACATCAGCTAGAGAGACAGATGACAGAACAGGAGCTACATCTCCCCACCACCTGACTAATTATGCACTTTGCTGATCCCACCAGAACATTTTATTGCTGTGTGCTTTGCTCCTGTGTTGAGCTGCTTTCACAAGCGCTCCTGCTCTGTTTGCCTGATAGGACCTTGTTCGGTAGCTTTGTTAACGGCCTCTGCAAGAGCAGCTAGGGTACCCAGTTCATGAAATCTGGGGGAGCAGTAATTAGCTGCAGGGCTGGGCCAAGACGTTGATGAAGAGCATCAAGGAAGCAGTTTTTCTAGGATACCCTCCCCTTCCCTGCTCAGTTGGAGTTATTCCACTCTTAATCTTTCCTTAGCGTTCACATAGCAAAGATTGTCTCCTCTTTATCTGCATTTCTAAGTGCTGGGGAAGTTAAAAGGACCAAGCACAAATCCACTAATCTCCACAATGACAAAGTTAGCACGCTGGCATCTAGTCCTCTTGTTTTTCCTCCCCGCTTCTGCATTCGTCCACTCTCCTGTTTGTCTTTTCTCTGTCTTCCCATGCAAGGCCTCCTTCTCCTTTCTGCCTCTCTTCTCTCCCTTTCAGAACTAATGCTTAGCATAAAGATGGGAGCTGCTCCACAGCTTGGAGATGAATGGGAGCTGTCATCTGCAGAAGCTGTCGCCTTGACATACTGTGGAGTGTGGAAACCTGGGTCCCAGATGTTACAAACTCTGCGGGGTGGGCTTTGTAGTAATTCTGCAGCCTGTTGGCTCAGCTGTTGTGGTCACAGTTAGACATACGTGTGTGTACCTTCATGCTATACACATGCGTGAGCAGTTACAGGATTTCCTCAACAGCGGTGCAGACAGTCTCATGAACAGAAGAGAAAAAAATAAGTTCTTCCCTACTAAATGCAGCTGCTGAAGGGATTGAGAGTAAAACCCCTTTTTTGCTTATGCACATGATTAGTCCTGGATCAGACCCTGATAGAAATCCACATGCATTCACTTAAAAACAGGAAGCTGCAGGAGAAGAAACCTTTGGGAGCTTCTGAGAAGCAGAGCTTGTGATGGACACCGTTCAACTTACACAAAGTCTCTTAACGCAGCTCTGCTGGCTTGTTTGTCCTTCCTGCTCTGATTCTCAAGGGATCTGAGTTTTGATAGGGCTGTGGAGACACGCTGTTCCTTCAACAGCTGGCTAGACATAGTGCCTGCAAACCTGATTCCTGCAGAGCCCAAAGAGAAGGAAAGAAGGTGCTTTTGGGAAGCATTTTCCAGTTATTGTTGGCTCCAGCTGCTGTCATTTTTGGTTACAACTTAGGCAGAAAGGAAGCTAGTCGGTACAGGCACCCCAGCTCCCAATTGGGACAGTTTCTCTAAGCTCCACACTCCCAGGAAAGATAAACGTATTTTTTATTATTATTGCTTCCTGTTTACAGATTATACTTTCCCTCCACTTCTTTAGTAACCTGAGACAGAGGGTCTCATGCTGCAAAGGAATGTCCTAGGCTGTCAGCAGCTGAGCGAGCTGAGAGTACAGGAGAGCCTTGCTGCAACTTTCTGCCTGCATTGCCTCTGCTGCTGCGAGGCACAAGCTGGATTTCAAGCAGGGACCAGTCTGGCTCAGTTCTTTGTTGAAGCTGATAGAGAGAGTGCCATGGAGGTTGCCCTTTGTGAGTCATTAGTAAACGCAGCATGAACCCATAAAAACCAGTGCTTGGTCCAGTTAAATGTAATGGAACAAAATTTACTGTGCCCTGATATATCGCTCGCTGCATACTGGCCAGTGCTATCTTTTCCTGGCGATTGCTGCGCTCTGGGAAGTTGAGGAAAACTGGCTATTAAATGTGTAAGAACTGTGGTACTTAGTACCGGGTATGATTCAGGCTGCTGTCGACAGAATTTCAGAACTTCTTTTTCTAGTGATTCCCTGTTGATTCCTTTTCATGAAGGATTCCTACATTTCTCTAATAATTCTGGCCTGAAATTTTCCTCGCACATTTCCTACTCCGAGAGGACACCTGGTGTGGGCATGTATAAAGTTCTAGCAAGATCCCTGCTGTTTTGTTGGTTTTTTGTAGTTGTTGGCTTTAGATCAGCAAAAGGTAAACAAATACCAGTTCTAGATGCTCAGCAGATAGCTCGAGTCCCCCTGGAGCACTTCTTAAAGAGAAGCTGGCCCCTCTGAAATGTTACCTTGCCACTTGAAAAATTCTTGGCAGTCTTTCTTCGAACTTGACCTGTTTTGCTTTTCTTGTAGTGACCTGAAAAATCAGGCAATGTTGAAAGCAGATTAGTTCTGTAGCTTATGAATAATGTCAGAGTGATTTTAACTCAGATGCATTTATAAGGAGGGTACATAAGGATACATTAGTGTAGGGCAGACAGTGTATTACCTGCACTGTTATGGGGTCCAACACACATACCTGAGTGCGTAGGTTTTGTCTGTAAGCCTGCACATTTTTAGTAGCACATAAAACTTTCAGAGCGTGTTACTGAGACTCCTCCATGTATTCAAATTGTCTTTGGCTGTGAAATAACAGTTAACTAAGACGCAGGGACATAGATATTGATGGAAATAACTTGTTTGTGTCATTTCACAAAGTGCATAATGCCAGGATAACTGTTGGGGAGGGGGCAGCTGTAAGTGTTCATAAACTTAATGAAAAGAAACAGGATTAAGTTTCAGGAGTGCTGGATCTTGATCCTGATTCTGCTTAAAACTGGTGTCGCTCAAGCTGCTTCTTCACTGTGTTCTTGGATCTTCCACCCCGAAGTGAGGATAGTTGACTGCCTAGAGACCAGCCAGCATCCATAAGCTGGGCCGCGTGTCTCCAGAGAAGAGCAAAAATTTACTCCTCCCCTACACTTCAGCAGCATCCTCGTTGTGGCTTTCTGTGTTCGCTACATAGCGCGTCTGTACACGCTCACACCCTCCCTCTCCTCTAAATTATTAAACAGCCCTGCACACCCTGCGGGGAAAAAGAGCAGCAGCAACACCCGCTTTGTCTTTCTTTATCATCCTCGTTTCCAGCGCAGCTAATTATCTTAACACAGAGCTGCCACCTTCTAGGGCGACACGGAGGCAGCGAGCGCCGGTGGCTCCTTGGCTGTAGCTGGCGACCCTTCCTTTTTCTGTCTGACCATGTGTGTGGCAGCGCATGCGCCCGGCTTGGTTCGAGGCCTGTCCCCCAGCACAGAGCGTGTCCTCTGGTAGGATTTATTATAAATGAACGCTGAAGTGCTCTTCTCATCTCTTCCTGCCTCCCTCCATCCCTCCTCCCCTACTCTGTTCAGGGGCCTTGAGGTGATTCACCAGCTTTTCGTCGGGGCAGAGGGGGGGGCCTTTGAACAACCCAGTCTAAGAGCAGGTATTGGGGATGCTCTGTTAAAACGGCAAGTGCCGCACGTGAAAACATTTCCCTGCGTAAGCTGGTGCCATTTTCAACAGCAGGCAGCTGCCCAGATGTGCCCTTGAAGCATCTTCAGCTTGCGTCTTGGTTCTTTTGTTCTGGCAGTTGCCTGGGCTGCTTTTAGAGAGAGAATTCACAATCCGAACCATTCGTTATTGATTTATTTATTTGGTAACAGTTTTGGGGTGACGCTTGGGGGTGGATGGGGAGGGTGGCAGGGCGTGCGTCTGCGTGTCTTGTGGGGATTGAGTTGAGGTTGTAATTGCATTATTATAGGGAATCCAATTGTTAGGGGATGAAGGCAGTTTCACTTTCCTGGCAGGAAGGAAATCTGAGCACTTGAATCAGTGCAATATGTGATGTTCAGAGATGCTTCCTCCGCTGATCTGATCCTCGAATCTGATCACGCCTCTAGTCGCAGTTGTTTTAATTAAACTCAGAGGAATTCTGCACATTGTGCTGCAAGATTAACATTTTTGTTTAATTAGAAACACTCAGTAATAATAGTTATACCCGGCCTCCCCCAACACACAACACACACACGTGCACACACACGCACTCACGCACACCCCCTGCCAGTGAAGAGGGTTATTCTCTCTGTGGATTAATTGGTTCATGAAATTAGCGGCCGCGGGTTTGAGCCAGGTGGAGTAGCATCGCCAGGGAGCAGGATAAAAGCAGTAATCAATAATGATGTCATCTGCAGCCAATGCGGCAGCAGCTCCGCGGCTCCTTAACAACACACCACCGCCTGGTTAAATAGCAGAAGGGAAGAGAAGACGTTAAAAGCCTGGCTGAGAGCTGTGCAAAGGCAAAGCAATTCCCAGGGTCCCTCTGTCCTGAGCTCACTCTTGGCGGGGCTGGGATTCTGCAGCACACGTGATCTGCAAGAGCACACGCTGTTTGGAGACTTCTGCAATGCCCAGGCACAGCCTGGTGAACTGAGAACTCAAAGGTTTGCTTCAGTCCCTAGTTAAAGATGTTTGTGTTTCTAATTTAGAATGAAGTACCCTGCTTTAGAGGTGCTTCAGATGCGCTGAAATGACTACGCCTTTATCCAACTGCAGGTTTGTCCATAGTGGGAGATCTGTGTTACTGTGATGATACGAAATGGTACGTGTTTTCGTTTGTGGTTGAGTGCCTTTGATACATGAGGAGAGGTGTGGTTAATACATTTCACTCTCCAGTGAGTCACAATAGATCCTTTATAACTCTCCAACAATGGTCAGAGGAAGGAAACAATGCACATTTTTAAACACACAATTGAGGCATTTAAACCCTTTTCTTCTCTGCAGTAGCGGTGCATTCCTAATAACAGTATTAGGCAAGAGTGTCTTGGCCTTGGGTATCAGAGCACCACACAAACCTTTAGCTCTGCCTTCATCGTTTCATAGATTTTTAGAAGTTGAGCCTGAGGCACAGCAGCATGGAACAGCTCTTACCCAAGTCATGTTTGTTCGGAGCTCGCATAGAGCAGTACTGGGTTCTGGTGATTCTGCTTTGCTCTTACAGGAAAAGGCACCCACCGTGGCAAGGCCACTGAGTTTCTCTCTTATTCCACCATCTCTAGGTTCAGCCGTACGTATTTTGGCTCCATTCCTTCTGATCCGTGATGTGCCAGCAGTAGGAAATGAGCTCTTGTTGTGTTTGCAGTTGTCAGGGATGTTTCCCATCCGAGGCAAGGGTTTCCAGCCCATCGCTGCTGCCACTGTGAGAGCTCCCGTTGGTGTCAGTGGGGGGCTGATTGTGATGTATGTTGCTTTTTTAAAAATCCCACCTTTCTAAAATCCTGTATGTTATTTCCCTTCTGTTCCCTCACCTGCTTTTGGGATGGTTTCAATGCCATAGATTCCCAAGGCTGTGATTCCTCAACAGGCATCATTTGAAATGATGGAGAATCCCTATAAAGTCTCACCCTGGTGCCAGCATCCTCCTTCCAAGCTGCCCTCCCCCAAAGACTGATTTTCCGGGGAAAAAAAATGCCGTGTCCCTGAGCTGTATCGGCCAGCGTAGGACACCTCTCTTCCACATGAGTTAGGAGGCCGTGACAAAGATTATGGGGGAAGCGCTGGGGGTTTGTATTTGTTACCACAAATTAGTCAGCATCAGTTGGGATTGCCCTCCTCACCCTCATTAGTGAAGGCAAAGGCAAGACGGAGAGGAAGCAGGGAGCTCAGCTGAGCCTGTCTTCTAGGTGCTGCTGCCACATCCCTCTTCTTCTAGGACAGCAGCACTCTGCATTAATAAATCTAAAAATCACACCCCATCTGACAGCACTTGGCTTATTGTTGTTATGTGTGTCCCCTCTGGTAACTACAGCTGGATGGTATTTTCCTCTCCTTTCTCTCCTAGTTTCCTCTGTGTCTTTGACAGGCCTTCTCACCACGTAGTTGCTTTCATTATTTCTCTTGTGCAGTTTGTTTCCTACTGGGGGGTTCAGAGGGGGCAGATGAACCCCTCCTTTTCAGTGTGACTGTATAGACCGTACTCTGCAGTGCAGGATCTTTGCCATATGTGTGCACAGCTTCTGCTGTGAAAACAAATAAGTGCAAGTCACTTACCTGACGGAGGGGTTCAGTGCAATACCTGGAGAAACTTTGAAATGGCTACTCCCATGCCCCAAAGGGTTTTGCTAGATTGCATTGAAATGTAGAATCTTCTTGTGGGACTCTAGAATAGTCACACAAAATGGGCAAGCTGGTAAATTTTACTGTATAATGGGTTTTCACAAACCATTTGTGGACCATTTACTGTAGCCTTGTTTTAAATTGAATTGCACAGACTACTGGGCAGCAAGTCTGCCTGATGCTTTCTTCGGCGTGTTCCAGTGAACAGCTCCTTCAGCTGCCCCGGTCCCTCGTACACGTTTAACCACTCTTCCTTTGCTCTCTACCACCAGAGGACCAGCTACCTCCCGGCTTCCCAAACATTGATATGGGGCCCCAGCTGAAAGTGGTGGAGCGGACACGAACAGCCACAATGCTGTGTGCGGCCAGTGGGAACCCGGACCCAGAGATCACTTGGTTTAAAGATTTCCTGCCTGTCGACCCCAGCGCGAGCAATGGGAGAATAAAACAGCTGAGATCAGGTAAGGTCTCTGTGTGAGATTAAAGGAATTGAGACCTAGATAGAGACGTGAAGAGACTGCTCAGAGGCTTCTGAAGCAGAAGGGAGGGCTGATAGATACGGGTACACTGGTGTTGATTTGGGGCATTAGCTTTTCTTTGGTTTTGGGACTCATGTTCTTGCTCAGGGAGTGGTTGGAGTATTTTCCCCGCCAACCCATCCTCCTGGCCTTCCCTACTGCCTAGCTGACATAAAGGGAATCACAGCAGGGAAGCTGGTTTCCATCCAGGCGCCACAGTAACTAGCTCACTGGATAATGGTGCTCTTCCAGCTCAGGGGGAACTGGGGACTGGATGGGAGCTGAGAGTTTCTTCCTCAGACCAAGAACTGGGTAAGGAAGAAAGAAAACCTCTACAGCAGATGTGGCATTTTAGGCCACATGCATCTGGTATAGGGTCCACAGCTCAGGCAGCCTCTGACTGTCAAAACATGATCCTGTTGGTGTAAAGTGAGTCTTTCAGAGCTGGCCCTGAAGAACAGCTCTTGCAGGATCTCTCCAGCATCAAGTCCCTGCAGTCATCGCCGGATAGCGGTTGTGAGCATTCTGGAGTGACCCCTTGGCGCTCCGTGGCACTGCCCATGGAGTGGATCTCCATGAACAGATGCACCCCAGCTCCATGGCTCTTGTCAGTTTTCCGTCTTTTCCCATCTGCTTGTCCATCTGTCTCTTGTTTGTTTTAAGTTTGTTGTTTTGTGTGTGTGTCAATGTGACTTCTCTTAATACTCAGGTTTCAGGAGATGTTTTATTCTTGTTAAATCTGCCAGTTCACTGTGTGAGAGTGTGTGTGTGTGTGCATGCACGCATGTGTAAGGAGAGCACAGGTATATTTATTTTTGAATACTACTGATAAAGCACTTCCATTTCTCAACTTAAAAAAAAACCCTGATTTCTCTCTGATAGCTGCAAATACGAAAAAAGCTTTGGAAGTTTTACCTTCTGACAGAAGCTAACCTGAGGAATAAACCTTTTCAAATACTGCTTGGACTGACTGCTTTGACCCAGCCCAGAGAAAATGTGTCTCTGAGGTTGGACCTAGCAAGCACTAGTGTCACTTCAGCTACTCAGGATATTCCTTCGGCTAAGAGAGGTGGAGCATTTTCAAGAGTCTTTTTTGGCAAAAGAATGGCATGATTGCAGGCAAAGGGAAAGCAGAGGCTTCAGTGAAGCAACTGGGGTTGCTCTGTTCATACTAGACATTTTACAAGGCAGCCAGTCAAGTGACAGCCAACTACTTCTGCCCAGGCCTCTGCTGGCTCTGAAGAAATCAGTTGTGACTACTGTAATGCTGGATCTGAACATCAGAGAACGGAACCGCCTGGTTTTTCTCTTGCCTTGTTTGGCAAAGATTCTGTATAAAGATCTTTAGTTCTGTGGCCCACCAGTGGAAAAGATTCAGTATAGTTCCAGCTCAGTGTAGCTTTTACACACCTGCATAAATGCATCCTTATTCAGCAAACTTACAAGCAGGTACTTAAACTGCTTTGCTGAATTAGAATGGACTGATGAATCCCACAAACACAGATGAGATTGACCTCCCTGTTTTATCGTAACATCTGAGGCAAATGCAAATAAAAGAAAATCACTCAGCATAAATAATGAGAGGTAAACTAGAATTATATCATGCTCTGTGACCATGATCTGTAGTGTGAGTAATGCATAGGCAGATTATTTTTAATACATTTATCATCTTGCTAGAATGCCTTTATACTCTTTAACTGGGCTTGATCTGGTTTTTCCCTTAAAGCCACCTGAGTGCTGCATTTTTATTCCGGTGAATTGGTTAGCCTCAGAGTGAACTCTTGGCCTTTCTGATAAATCAGAAGATACCTGCTGAGAATTAATCTCATTTACAGCTGCTTTGAATTAGTAAACCAGGGAAACCCTGAAGCATCCCTGTTGTCCTTAGGGGCGGAAGCCTGTTGCTTGTGTGAAAGGGAGTGCAGAGTCCTGGACAGCCAGGACTTCTGAGTTCTCCTATTCCATCTACTTTTATGGCCTTTCAAAACTTGCGTGTTCTGTGATGCAAAGGCCTGTGAAAATGCAAAACATAGTAACATTAGGGTCATCGGTACTGTGTTAGTATTTTGATCAGTGGAAAGGAGTTCTTTTAAGACCAAGGCAGAGCAGATTCACGTGTGTATTTGTAACCGGAGTGTGATGAGCAAGGTGATGCCTGTTTGAGCACTGATGATGCGAGTGCTGCTAAAGTCAGAACTTGATTTGATACCTTTGTCTTTCCAGAAAACAAGCTTTGCTGCCAGGAGTGTGGCACTAGCACACGTTAGGGCATTGGATGCTTCAGGACACTGCTAATGAGCTTCAGTGTCTGTTCAGGCACAGGTCACCAGCGTGACTCCAGCCCAGCTTCTTGGGGATTAGCAATTACACCCAACTACTGGGTGTTTGACAAGCCCTCTGTGAATAGGAGTGCAGGAAGGAGGGGAGGAGTGACCCTGGTGCTAAATCGCACCTTCATCACTGCACTTGGTGCTAACAGAGCTAGCGTAGAAGCCGGCGACTGTGTTGTTTCTGAAAACTTACCTGTTGTTGCTCCCTGATGGAGACTGGGACAGGTGAGAGAGCGTCAGGACAGGACAGTCACCTGGATTCTGCCCTGGAGATGAAGTCAGCAGGATATCAGCCGCCTTTATTAACGGAGGGTGTTAAGAACTGAACTAATATCAGTGTATGAGTTAGTGGCAAACATGGAAATTAGCTCATTGAAGGGTACAAGTGAAATGTCATGCACAGAGCTCTGCAGAGTTGGGTAGCTGTGTCCAGATTTGGTTCTCACTTATATTAAAACTAAACGTTTTGCTGGCAATATAAATTGATGTCCGAGACCATGGTCAGTATCTTCACATCGTCCCGGGGACCCATTTATGTTATGGGTCTCCAGTGGAATTGAGCAGCAGGTAGTATGTGATTAACCGTAGAGACTTCTCTATCCAGTATTTCTTCTTCTCCTTTCCATCTCTGGATAAACTTTCCAAGCGATTGGAAATCTTCTTAACGCTTGGGGGTTTGACTGAATGAAAAGCTGCATGGTCAGTCAATGGGAAGAACCTCTGACTTAGGATCCTGCTTCCCTTAGGCTTGCATGGACATCTCAGCCTTAGAGACCCAGGTCGGCTAAGAGTTTAAGTGGTCTTGGTGGTGGAAGAGAGAGGGGTATTTCTGCTTAACCCCGGTGCAAGCAGTCTCAGGACGTTTAAAGTAGCAGCCAATGTCCTTTGCTCAGCCGTGCCACCTAGGGGGCATAACGGGAGGCAGCCTGCAGCCACCTGCTTACACCGCAGAAACACTAAAACCTTTTGTGTCTTGTGTGTGTCTTCTGTTTTCTGAATAACTGGCTATAACAACCTTTTTTTTCCTTTTTTTTTTTTCTTTTTTCACTTATTTTAACACTCAGAGACCTTTGGTAAGTTTGTTCAATTAAAAAAAAAAAATCAAACCAAAAACCCCCAAACCTGCTAATGTCCAGATTTGTAACCCTTGCCCTGTAAACTAATTCCTTTGTAACAGCTTCTTGAGAGGCATGCTATGCATTTCTTCTACTAACTCTTTCAGTAGGGGTATTCTGCCCTCTTAATGAATTTCTGCAGGGGTATTGCAGGCTACAAAAAGAATAATCATCATCCTAATTAATGTATCTGTATAAAGAAATAACAACTAAATATGAACCTCCTAACATTGGATAGATTTTTTTTTTTTTGTCTCTTAGCAACAGTTGTCCTGGAATTCCCCAATTACACAATAGCTTGTGCCCTGGAACCGTGATAATTGTGTTCACACCTGCAGGAGGTCTTGGAGTTTCACATCTAACAGGGTTATTGGCATTTTCAGAAGGGAGAGCTGGGGGTGCAGTGTTTTCAAATTGAAGCTGTAAATCGCAGGCCATCGGCTATGGGAAAGGGTTGAGCAAAGCAAAAGCCCCC